CGACTCTGTGTCTGCTCCAGTCCAAGGGACCAGGCAGGGGCCGAAGGCAAGATTAAGACATCTTGGAGGCAACCTAGTTATTCTATATTCCTAGCTACAATGTCAATAGTAACATAATATTAGTTAACATACTAATAGGTAACAGAGTTAATTATTACCTATACAGAATTAGTATATACCTATATACAGAGTTATATATACCTATTACCTATACACGGGTATTATAACATAGTAATAGGTAACAGAACTCCTGCAGCTTACCTGAGTAGTTACTGGCAATTGGAGCCCTCTTTGATCTACCACAATCATAGTCATGATGGTCTGAATCACCAAGGCAATAAAGGTGTCTATGCCGAACACCAGGGCATAACGTTCTAAGCTCAGGTTAACTGCAATCTGAAAGCTGTCATTAAATGTTGAGTTAGCATTTAACCATAGCATGCATAAAGTTCTTATCTAAAGGATAGAAACTGAAACTGGGCATGGTGCTGAGCTCCTGTAATATCTATACTACTAGCATTCAGGAGGCAGGAGGAATCCACGACCATTCTAGGCCACATAGCAAATTCAAGGTCATCTTGGGTGTGCTTGAGATCGTGCATTAAAACCAAACAAGAAACCAGAACAAAACAAAGAATGGAAAACAGTGTTGTTAAGGCACATCTTACCTAGCTCTTATCCAGTATAGACAAACAGGCAGAATAAAGAAAAAGAGCTCAGTATTTCTAAAGGGTGGAATAAAGGCACTACGATGAAATTCCTCCTGTATGATCTAGCACTTTCCAAAAATTAAACTTAAACATTAACATCTCATAACTTGAGAATATTGAATGTAAGTTGCTTTCATACATGTTTGCAATGAAGTTTTTATAAATATACAAACATCATTTAATCTGAGGACTTTTAAAAATGTATTTAGTTAATTGTTTATGACCTACAGTCAGAAGGTATGGTAGGTGATTGTTCTTTGGAAGATTCAGACCACGGTTGTTTGTTCAACTGACTGAATCTTTAATTAGTTTTTAACTATAAAGATTTCAAAGTCTGATCACATTTCTTAGAATGAAGACAAAAGGCTTTGGATTCTGAATGGTTTTTTTTTAAATTCAAAGGAATAATAATAGTTCTACCTTTCAATTCTCATTACAAAAAATGAAACTAGATATTTAACTTGATTCATTAAACCAAGATATTTCAGTAAAAAATTTTTAGCTTTCTGTGATGTTTGATTTCAATCATCCACTTGAAACAACTTACGATCATCTGGGAATAGTCTTAAAGAGGGTATATCTAGATTAGGTTAGCCTGTGAACATGTATCTGGAAGCCTGTCTGGATTAATGTGGGTGGCACCATTCCCTAGGGAGGGGAGCTGAACAGAGGAGAAAGCTGAGGACAAGAAGGAAGAACATATTAGTTTTCTCTGCTCTTGACCATGGATATAATATGACTCCCCCTAAAAAAACCTTGAGCTATAACTTGGAATTATAAACCAAATTAACAATTTTCTAACCTCTGTTGCTTTTTGCCAGAGTATCTGTCACAGCAACAGAAATGAAACCAGAACATTTGCTAACTAGTGACACCTGCATTTTCTCATGATCTTTGGCTTTGGGACTCATATTCCAATGTTTTCTTGTTTATTCAACATTTTTCACAAATTAAAAATGAAACGTGAGGGACTGGAGAGATGACATACAGGCTAAGAGCACTAGCTGTTCTTCCCAAAGATCAGGGTTTGGTTCCCAGCACCCACATGGCTGCTCACAACCATTTCAAGGCATCCCAGTGAGATCTTCTGATCTCTTCAAGTACTGTACTTGTAGACCTGCATACATGCAGGCAGAAACACTTACATACATAAGGTAAAGGAGCTGGAGAGATGGCTCAATGGTTAAAAGCACTGACTGCTCTTCCAGAGGTCCTAAATTCAATTCCCAGCAACCACATGGTGGCTCATAGCCATTTGTAATTGGATCCAATACCCTCTTCTGGTGTGTCTGGAGACAGCAACAGAGTATTCATATATATAAAATAAATAAATCGTTAAAGAATAAAATAAAATCTTAAAAAAGAAACTTGGTAAAACTTGTCAGTCTTTCTCAGATGTAGTGTGAAACTAAAATGCACATTTCTCGTCCTTTTTGGCTAAAACCAAAGGGCACTAACTATACTCTTTTCTCCACCTTCTCTGAGACAAGATGCATGTGGCCCAGGCTGTCATCAAACTTGCTATTTCACCAAGAATGGCCTTGAGCTTCTGATCTTTCTTCCTCTACCTCTCATGATCTGAATAACAGAAATGTTCTACCACATCAGAGTTTGTAGTGCTAAGAATCATGCATATGGGCCAGGCATGTTACCAACTGAACCTCATAGCCTGCTCCTAAAGACAATTCCTTGTAGCCAGTTTTAACTGTGCCCACATATATGCTGCATGCTTTTTAATAATTTCTTTTGTAAAAATCAAAACAAAAAACTCTAAAAAAAACAGGTATAAGTATTAATGGAACTCTGATTTTCAGAGACCTTATTTTAAAAATTATTCAAAAGGACACAGTCCCAAGTATAAGTAAAGCTGAAGTTTTCTTATAATCTTTGCTTCGTTCCCTCCCCATCTCCCATCACCTGAGTCCAACTTTTTATAACTTTCCTGAGAACATTTTGTTCCCAAAAAGTATGTGCTTAGAACTTCTCATGCAACTAAATGGGGCTACAGATAAAAATCTAAACCTATGCATTTGAAATTAAATAACACTGGACTTTATTAAGAAAAAAATCATTGGAAGTAAAAAGAAATCAAAAGGAGATCATGGACCCTTGCTTTTGGTTCCTATGGCTCCCAGATTTCTTCCTTTGATGAGTCAAGTCTATTCAGCTAAACGAGAAGATGACTTCACTTAATTCCATTCAATATGTAGTTAATATTTAAACACTGAAATGGACTAAAATCCTTCTGAAGTTCCCAGAGAATCTTTTGGAATCCACAAAGAGTAGGGAGGAGTGGTAGGTGATACTTACACTGCGATGGTTATAAGAAACGAGTAGCTAGACTTGACCAGTAGATAGCCAGCATAGCACACCCAGATGCTGAGTGTGTAATTCATGAGAAACAGAGATCCTGCAATGACAGCCGAGAAGACAGCCAGTCCCAACTCTCCTAGAAGATCCCAGTTGACCTTTATATAGCCCACTGAGAATGAAGCCAAAGCTCCTAGAGACAGACAACGGGGAAGAATCGAGTTATTGACTTTGCAGGAAGGAACCTCAACAAAGGCCTCAAGTTTTCTTTTTTTTTTTTTCTCACTTCCTATTTGTTTTCAACCCAGTTTGCTGTTATACTTTTAATTAGCATTAACTACACAGGCAGAAGGGATAGAAAGAACCTAAACACAGCAGTGTAGTGCATACACAGTGTCCCTGTCATTTAAAGAACACCCAGGGTAGCGTGTAAATGCCTTGGAAAAAAAGTTTCTCTATTGTTTTAAATTGTATGTTTTGGAGCAATGGGTGTCCCAATATCTTCCTTCCTTCCTTCCTTCCTTCCTTCCTTCCTTCCTTCCTTCCTTCCTTCCTTCCTTCCCTTTTTCCCATCCTTCTTAGACCCGGGGGATCTTGGAGATCTCCTTACATTGTCCTTGAACTCCTGGGCTCAAGTGATCCGCCTCCTGCTACAGCTGAACTGATTTCCTTGAGAGTTTGGAAAAAAAAGGACCTGTACTGATGTACACAGTTTGGAAAGGTTACCAGTTAGCAACCGAACAAAGGGCTCAAATTATTGACAATTGGCGGGTTATTTTTTGGTGGGTGATCTGTGACAGAACTGTCTCTAAAAAGGAGTAGCTCTCCCCAGGAATTTCAGCCATAAGAGCAATAATTTCAGTCATCCAATTCTGCCTCAGCCTTGGCTTTCAGGAGTTAGTGGAAGCCTTCCAAGAGGGAAACAATAATAACACAGAGGCTACGTGCATTTCTGAAGCTTTTTGTAGAGGAAGGTGTGGAAAAATATCCCATTTCCTAAAACACATCTTCAAAGGCTCATGTAACATTTCCATTTACGACTACATAAATATTTATTGCACAGTGTACTTCAAAGGCAAATTTCTTTTTGATATTAGAATCCTGAGAGTAACATCATGGAAATTACGTAATTTTTGAAATGTGAAAATGGTTGGTGTGCAGCCTAGAGTTATGAAGGTCCCTAGAAAGATTCTCTAGGTAAGAGTCTGGAAACCATCATGTATTTTCTAGAGTTAATAATAAAAATTCTGCACTTTCTCTTTCCTTTAAATGTTAGAAACAGTCTTGACTCTAGTAGCTCAGGAAATAATGGCGAGAGTCAACCAATGAGACTGTGTGAAATTCAAGGCATCTGCAGGGAGAAGGGAAGCAGTCGGGTGCAGAGGATGTCTACAGAATGGGAGGAAAGGCTTTGCTGTTCAGTGGCAGACAGAGGGTCTGTATCTGCAATGCATCGAATCCAAAACACTAACTAAGCCATCAAACAACTAGGAAGGGAACGGAAGGGAAGGGCACAGAGGCCCAGGGGGAAATGTGCCCAGCACACTTGTTCACAAGCTTAAAAAGAGTAAACCAACCCAGAGATGTTGGCACCTGCTTTTAATACCAGCACTTGGGAGGCAGAGGCTGGGGGATCTCAGAGTTCAAGCCCAGCCTGGTTGACAGCCAGGATATCCAAAGTTGTGTTGTGAAACCCCATCTAAAACAAAAACAAAAAATCAAAAAACAATAAAGGGCTGGGCTAGCTTAGTGAGTGGAGTCCTTGCCTTGCAAGTACAAAGTCTTGAGTTTAAGTCCCAGAACCCACATAAGAAGCTGGGTAGTATACTGTATTCACGGTAATGGGACTAGGAGATCTCTAGAAGAAACTGGCCAAACTGACGGATCGGTCTATTAGGTCAGTTACAGGCCAATGAGAAACCTTGCTTAAAAAAAGAAAAGAAAAAAAATGGATGGACCCAAAGGGTGATACTTAAAGCTGTCATTTGGCCTTCACATGTATCTGTGTGTGCAGACTTGCATGTGTACACAAATGCACACATGAAAAAGATAAAAAATAGAAGGTATATTGATCTCACTCATCAAACTTTAAAACATATGAACCTAATACTGAAGGAACAGGGAACATTATCAACATCTATTTTACTGAAATGGAATCTGTGGATTCTACTAGAAATATATTACTGGTTCTAAGCTTTATTCTTGAGTTATTTGTAACTAACATATAGTATAAAAATATTGTATTCTTATTTTTCCAGTGCCTTCTATTCTTGAGTGAGAAGATGGCTCAGTGGGTAAGAGGTCTTGTTATGGAAGCTTGATGACCTGAATTCAAATCCCCAGAGAATCTGTAAAACATTGGATGTGCTTGTGCATACCTGTAAGCCCAGTGCTGTAGTGAGTGGGGACAAGAGGATCACTGGGGCTTACTGGCTACTAGCCTAGCTCTGGTCTCAGTGAGAAAGCCCATTTTAGGGGACACTCAATGCCCTCCTCTGGCCTCTGTGCAAACACAGCCATATACACATGTGTATTTTTTATCCCCTTCCCTCAACTAAAAAACAAACCACTTTACTTTCTGGTTATAGTTAATTAACTGCTGTGGAAAAGTTTAGCATCTGGAGCAATGATCTGCAGAGGGAAGCAGCAGAGGAGGAGAGAGATGTGCACTTACCTCCGAATGTTGCTACGGCCTCTACTGCTCCATTATAGATAGAAGAATCTTGGGAGGGTGCCTTGTGTTCCCATAGGACTTGAACATAGTTCAAGATTTGGTTATAACCTGCTGTGGCAAAAGCCCACCACAAGGACCAGTAAACAAGGTGCTTTGAGGAGTAGCACTCCTTCAGATCCTGAAACCAATACACAAAGTGTCTCAAAGCTGAATTTTCTGGCTCCAGGTTGCTCATCTCTTTGTCCCCTAGATTCTCTGAATTGGCAAACAGTTCTGGGTGAGCTCTGTTGTTCTGGGCTTCCTTGAGAACAGTACATTGTTCCAGTGGCTTTGGACAATCTTCTCTGTCAGACTTTGTATGGAAAAACATGCTTTTCTTAGGCATTGGTAGAAAAAGTGAGAAAAAGAAAGCCACAGAGACACAGGCCAAGGATATGAAAAAAAGGGTAGAGTATGGCACGCTTATCAGGGACACCAGGAGCTGGGCTAGCACCGAGCCTGCTGTGTAGGCCACTAGCGTGATACTCCGACAGTAGCTGCTTACTTTCTGATAGTGCTCTGGGCTGACCATGCTATATATGTAGGCAAAGTAGGCTATCTCTGTGGCTGACACAATCCCAAAAAAGAACTCTGCTATCTGCATGAGTATCACACCTTGGCCAAACAAGAGAAACAGGTAGCTAGTGGCGAAGGCCACAACGTGTAACATGATGACGGGTTTGTATCGCAGGTAGTCGGTGAGGACAAACACGGGTGGCAGCGTTGCCAGGTAAGAGTACGTCCAAACAGGAAGGATCTCATTTGTCATCTGTGGATTTGATAAGTAGGTGTGATCAGAAGCACAGCACATTTCAAATGGACATATGGGAACTGATTTGTACCTCAAAGTCACATTTAATCAGACATTCTTCATGTTGTGGGGAAAAATAGAAAACTGATGTGCAGGTAAATTACTAAGAAAAACTAGTGTCTTTGTGAAATGAAAACAACAAAAATAAAGCACCATGGAGTTGTTGGAGAGGGAAAGAAAAAGAAAAGAAACCAAAACTCCAAGCAACTTACATACATAGGTGTATCCCAGTAGAAGAGTTCTAAAGAGATCATAGGTCCTCTGAACTATATAATAAATTCAAGTAACATGTAATGGTTGAATAAATTAGTTAAAAAATTTCAAGTTAAGTTTAAACTTAAATACCCTGAACTTCTGAGATTTCCGAGTTCTTAAAAAATCCCAATTTAGCAAGCTGGAGAGTTATTTAAGAGCACTGGCTGTTCTTCCAGAGGACTCAGGTTCAATTCCTAACACCCACATGGCAGATCACAACTCTCTGTAACTCCAATTCTAGGGGATCCAACACTGTCATACATACATACATGCAGGCAAAATACCAATGCACATGAATTAATAAATGAATAAATTGAAAAAAATCCCAAACTACTCTTATACAAATAATAGCAGCATTAGGTATAGAATTCTCAATGTAAAGAGTAGAACACCTCTATTTACTTGTTCCACCACTGCTTCTCACCTGTCTGAAATCTGGGTAGACAGACACACACACACACACACACACACACACACACACACACGAAGCAAGATCGAATGGTTGGTAATGTATTTCATTTTCTTCTTGTTTACATTTGCCAGGCTTGCAAGTTCTTCCCACCCTATCCATGGCTTTTTATGTCACTGCTAGGTTGACATCACTATTGCATGGCAAACACATGGACACTCAAGTTTCATAGATAGAAAACACTCAAAACATTGTGAATGATCCTTAAGCGTGATGGGTAAGATTCAGTCTCTTGGATTACTGAACTCTTCCTCATTGACATGTGGCCCCACCAAGGTCACATGAGGGCCCACAACTAACCTGTGGTTCTAAAGGAGGATTTACTCACCTGTCCGTTGTATATGCAGGCACAAAACTGGTGGGCATGTTGAGGTGATTCTGCCTCATCTCTGACCTTTGCCTTAAATGTGACATGCTTCAGTTCAAAAAACTCTGAAGCCATTGGGGTTTGCTTGGATTCTGTCTTTGCTAATTTCCTATTGATAATCCAGTACCACTTAGCTTTCAAAATAATGCTACCTTCCATACGACATTTTCATTGTTGTGGTTGAAGATAGTAAACCAGCTCAGGGTGATTTTTTAGTAGGCTTAGTGCATTTTCTTTTTGTATCTTTTTAGATACAGGGAAAGACAGGAAGGGAGGGATGCATTCCTGACAAAACTAGAACAGGCTATGTATACCAGATTGGCCTCCAGGTCACAGAAATCCATCTGCCTCTGTTTCTGCCTCCTGAGTGCTGGGATTAAAGGCATGGGCTGCCATGCCCAGTAAGAAGTATCTTTTTAAGTAAGAGAATTTGGCCTTCCGGGAGAGAAGTAAATCAGGAAGTAAATCTGTTTATATCACATCTGCTGCTAAATAGTTTTTCAAAACTGAGTAAGAGTCACAAAAATATATAACCATGTGTTGTTGATATGCTTGGCTAATTTTATTTATTGTGCAAACTTTATAGAGTGTGCACCCAGAAACTTTAGAGTGTATAACGCACTTATACAGCTCAGCTATGTGGTGTATAGTGGTGTGATAATACTGTTAGAAAAACATGAGGTTAACTTAAACACAAGAGAATATGTTGAAATTGAAAGAGTATGCCTTTAATCCCAGCACTTGGGATGCAGGGGCAGGTGAATTTCTGAGTTCGAGGCCAGCCTGGTCTACAGAGTGAGTTCGAGGACAGCCAGGACTACACAGAAAGAAAGATACAGTAACCATAGTAACCATAGGATATATGGGCTGATGCTGTTGTTGTATGGTACTTAAGTAAAAATAAAATGATGCCTTAAGACAATGATAAAAGTAGCAGTAAATGAGTAGACAGTAACAGTCATTTATCATCATTATTGAGTTTTACATTGCATACTATATAAATTTTAAAATGTATTTATTTTTACATGCATTGGTGTTTTGCCTGCATTTATGTCTGTGTGAGGGTGCCAGATCTCCTGCAACTGGAGTCACAGTTGTGAGTTGTCATGTGGGTGGCTGGGACTCAAACCCAGAGTCTCCATGTGTTATGTTTTTATGGGTGACAGAGCAGTAGGTTTATTTTCACTGATGTCACATAAATGCATAATTAAGTGTTGAGGTGTGAGTTTGTGGTGGCTACAGTGGCACTGAAGGACAGGAATTCTCTGAAATGTCATGGTCTTAACTATAGATAACTAATATATTCACTAAACATGACATGTAATTGTATTGCACTTTCTTATTGCATCCTGCTTATACCACAGCAGCCTACTGGTTTCCCAGAAGGCACTCCCACGGCAGAGAACAGCTTCATTTTAGGGCAAATGTGATAGAAACAATGGAGACCAGAAAAGTCCCCCCCCATCTCTCTCTCTCTCTGTATCTCTCTCTCTCTCTCTCTCTCTCTCTCTCTCTCTCTCTGTATCTCTCTCTCTCTATCTGTATCTCTCTCTCTCTCTCTCTCTCTCTCTGTATCTCTATCTCTATCCAGACTAACATCAAAACTCTGAAATTTAAAATATTCTTCGTAGATGTTAAATAAGTGTTTGGCTTAATATTTTTTGTAATTGTCCTGAGGAAGGATGCAGTTCTATTGTGTAATAAATTCTGTGAAAATGGGGGCTCACTGGAATTCAAAGCTTTTTTTTTCTTACTATAATTTGAATGACATTCCTACCACCTTGTTCAAGTCCTGTGAAATGAACCCCTATGAAAATAAGTACCCATTAGCTTACCTCTGTACTGGTGAGATTCTTACTGGGTTCAGACAAAAATGGGATTAAGAATGACTCTGAAGGCCTGAACATGGAGAAAAACCCAAAGAAGCAGAGTATCACAGTGGGATAAACCCAGGAGTTGCTTGGTGGAGTTCTGCAGCTGGAGTCCATGGCTGGTCGAATGGAAACAAAGTGAAAGTTAACCCAAGCTCATCCTTCTCTGACACCTGGCATCAAAGGCTGATTATTTCTACACATTTTATGAAAATATGATGTTTTTCCATCTACATGCTGTGGAGCTGGAAAAGTGAGTGGTGAATTACTTACACACATTTCCAGGGTGAACCCTCTGTTCACAGAGCCCCCCTACCCCCTTTGTTATTGATGGAGGGAATTGGATTTCTTTAGTGTTTTCTCAAACATAGTTATGGGCAACTGCTGGTAAACCATGACTAGTGGAGTACCACATGCTTGATCCTAAGTAAGAGACCAGCTAATGAGTCTGTGTCAAGTTGCAGTAGGAAAAGAGCTTCCAGATGAACAGACTGGATTAGGCGAGCCTTCTGGATCTGCCTGCTCCACTTTGCATGGATTCCAGAATTTTTAACACATGGACTGACAGTTGTTTATTATAAATTTATCTTTCTGCCCAGGCTGCCCCTTGTCTGGCGTCTTTCTGGTTGTATAATAAACAACAGAAATATCTGTTAGGTTTCTTCATCTTTGAAGAATTACAAATTCTTCAGTTAGAAAAATCAACTGGGAACCATTTTGGACAGTTCAGCCAAGCAATCCTGATGGTCTGAGTTTGATCTGCTTAGCCTCCCACAGCACCCCCTGCCTCCTGGCTGTTTTTGTTGTTTGTTTGTTTGTTTGTTTGTTAGTTTTTTAACAGGATTTCTCTCTGTAACCTCTGCCAGACCTGTAACTCACTATGTAGACCAGGCTGGCCTTGAACTCAGAGATCCACCAGCCTCTGCCTCCAAAACTCTGGGATTAAAGGTGTGAGCCACCAAACTGCATGTGGTGGCAAACAGCTGTAACACCCAGAACTCTTACTCTGAGATAGCAAGCAGACATAGGAGAACTGCCCAGAAGCTCACAGGCCAGCAAGCCTGTAGTACACACAGCACAGGAGAAACAAGAGTGGCCCAACCCTAGCAAGGTGGAAGTCCAGAACTGTCTCCAGAGAGTTGGCCTCTGACCTAAAGAGTCTAAAAGTGCACCATAGCATGTACGTGGCTACCTCCTCCCCACACCATGCTAATAATAAATAAAATAGAATGCTTAAGGAAATTAATTGGATAAAGATCTTTCTTCCATATCCCCACCCCAATCCTTCTGTTTTCCACTGGTGCCAGTTATATTTGGGAATGGGGAGGCATGGCTTCTAAGATTACCATTCCGCTCCCCATTGTGTGTCTGTTCTTCTCTAAATTTGTAGCTGCAGATTATTCACAGGGGAAGAGCATTCATTCTTCACACTTTTTCCTAATGTTGATACCCCTGAAAGTTCGAACTTCAGACACAAAGCACAAGAAGACCTTAGTCATTGCCCAGAAAGCAAACAGCAAACACAATCAGTCTTATATTATTTTCCTCTGCCCCCGCCACCTTCCTGGGTGGCAGTGAGCACCAAGAAGTTTATCATCCCTTCACATCTGAGATCAAACTTTGCTGTTAAGAGACATTCTTTGGTGGTCTTGATTTTGGTTATTCTCTGAGATTATCTATAGGAAGGTATCTGGCTATGGGTATTGTATTAGTCAGGGCTCTCTAGAGTCACAGAACTTATGGAATGTCTCTCTATACTGAGGTAGTTTACTGTGAGACTTACAGTCTGTAGTCCAATTCATCCAACAATGGGCAGGTGTGGATGAGAAATCCAAGAATCTAGTAGTTGTTCAGTCTCACGATGCTAGTTGTTCCAGCTGGTCCAACAGATGTGTTGGCTAGTAAGTATAAGCAAGTGAAGAAAGAGTGAATCTTCCTTTTTCCAATGTCCTTATGCAGGCCTACAGCAGAAGGTGTGTACCACCATGCCTGGATCTGGGACTTGCTTGTCCTAGTCTGAACATGAACTCAGAGATCTCCTTGCCTCAGTCTCCTGAGATTAAAGGCATGGACTACATTGTCTGGGCCTAAGTTTTTCATGGTCACTGTGCCTCAAGATCTCCATGCCAAAATCCAGGTCAGAAACTTGTGTCTTCCAGCCTCAAGATCTGGATCAGAGGTGAGCCCTCCAATTCTGGATTATAGTTCATTCCAAATACAGTCAAGTTGACAACCAGGAATAGCCATTACAAGTATGACGCTATTTTTTTTTCCTGTGCCTTCTCATTAAATGCCTTTCTCACTAAAGCATCATAGTAATTGTAATTCCAAGGTGACTACATGAAAAAAATCTAACTAGTAGATTGAAATTGTGTGGTCAAGACTGGAATCATTTGTCTCCTAACTTCCATCAGGACTCTTTTATTTATTCTATTATCTATCTATCTATCTATCTATCTCTCCTTTTATCCACACTCTGCCTCAGTGTGTCATGCTTTCCCCTATACTGTTTCATTAATCTACTGACAGCCTCTCCACAGGGAGAAAATAAAGCATTTGTACAATATAATGACAACCTTGTTTTATCATGAGGAACACATTTTCAACACAAATCCATGGCAGACACTGTGGCTTAATATGTAAAACTTTCAAATTCCAAACAGTTCAAGAAGCACTGATTCCAGACGGGTGGGCCACCTGAGCGGAACATCACATCTTGTCCTCACTCAACTTTCTACAAAGTGCTCTAAACTGCAACGTAACTTTTCTATTAACTTGAGTAAAGTCAATAGCATTTGTGTCTACAACACCCTGGACTTCCCAGCTTAGAAAGCATGATGATTGCATTTTGGAAAAATGGGTCCAACAGTGAGCAATGCTGACACTGTAGAAATTCTGTCAAGGACAAACTTGAGTTAATCATTCTCAATTTATGCCCTCTTTCTTTTCTCCACTTACTGACATTCTGTCAAGTCTGTTGGGAACGCCCTTCTTACCTTATTAATGGTCTCACTGGAGTAGTTATTTCAAGTTGCCAATTACTAAGGCTAGACCATCTATTGAAGGCTGGTTGTAATAGTGTGTAGGAGGAGCTAAGGTGGGAGGAGTTAGCAGAGGAAGAGGAAGAGGAGGAGTAAGGAAGAGAAGAGGAAAAGGAAGAGGAGGAGCTAGGAGAGAGAGAGAGAGAGAGAGAGAGAGAGAGACAGAGAGACAGAGAAAAGATGTAGGAGGATGGAAAGGCACGTTGGTATGGAGAGCTGTGCGGGTAACTACTTTTATTTAGGTTAGCTAATTGGGAAACAACTCTCTGTATGGGCATATTGTTATTGAGCTTTACCAAACATATAAAGCCTTTGATTAATCTATAAGAAATTGGGGTCTCATTCTCTTACTGGGCCCACATGGATGGCAGAATGGTCTGGGCAATGCCCAGCCTTACAGAGACAGCGTGGGAGATTGGTAGGGCCATGTCTCACGCTGGCATCTCGTGGGTGGCAGGGCTGGTGTTTCTGGTAGGCTGGTTCTAGCTGGTTCGTGCACGTGGCCTCCGGCCTAGAAACATGGCGGCTGAGCTAGGCAGAGCCGCTGCAGTTTAGATAGTCGGCTTGGCCCGAGGCCGTTTTAAAGAATTACTACAACAATAGAGTGGCATTTGCTGGCTATGTGCAAAACATACAATCTCTACTGACCATGAAATTGGCTCTTGACTCGTCTTCATAAATCACAGAGACTAGGGACTATGTCTTTGGTTCCTGGGCTGCTAAAATGACCACAGATTCTTTATCTCTTGGCTCCTTATGGTCCAACTACAGTTAGCTGGAAAGGCAGCAGAAAATATGCCCCTAGAGTGTAAGACTCACAAAGTGAGGGCATGTTGTGTGGTTTGTTGCTCTGTCCTAAGTGGTCAGAAAGTACCTGATAGTCAGTAAGCTCTCAAGGATGATAGGGAATAAAGTAACAAACAGCAACCATAGTCTATGTGGACAACAGGGGTGGAAAGGGAAGATGTCAGGGTAAGAGATACAAGGTATGAGAACACACACAAGTACCATCTTGTTTTCCTGGGTACGCCCCATTTTCCGGTTGTATCAGTGAAAGGCCAGATCTCTTTGCAATGATTTTTTACATTGGGAAGATTAATTTTGTGGAGGGAAAGATAATTTTGGTCTCATTTAACTCAGTGTTTGACTGAGTTTAGTTTTTGAGTCTCATGTAGCCCAGGCTGGTCTCAACTGCATTTGCAGTTAAAGATAGTCTTGAACTTTTGATCCTCCTGCTTCTGCACCCTGAGAGTACTATCCTGTCTGGCTTTGTATGGTGCTGGGTTGTAAACTCAGAGCGTCATGAAAGGCAGACAAGCACTCTACCCTGGCCTTTTGTTCCCTTTTAATAGAAGGGAACCAGAAGGCTGGAATGTGGACCTGGACTTGGTTCTTCCAATTCCAGCTTCACTGGCCTCTCCTCACCCTTGTGTTAAAAAAAAGCACAGATATATTTTCAAAACTTTAGTCTACTTTAGAATACTGTTCTTCTGAATGTGGTATCAAGAAGAATTTAATACTCATGAGTAGGATTTTTTAAGAAGATGCAAAACTATTAAAAATAGAGCTTGCAGTGAATGAGGAGGGGTTCTCCTCCCTGTAAACTCTGCTTATTTTAATAACAAACAAACACGCTAACAATGACAAACACGAGTAACAAGAGACAGTCAGACTCAGCAGTTGAAGAGGAAAGAGGTGTAAGTATACACATATCCCTCAAAAGCACAGTGGGGCAAACACTACAACATCTATGTGCTTCTGGAGGGACACACCCTCTAAACAGACACTTTTTTTAGATCTGCTGGCCTGTGGGATGACTCATGGCATAAAGGCACTTGCCATGCACATCTGGCATCCTGAGTTTGATTCCTAGAACCTACATAGATGTGGAAGGAGAAAACCAACTCCACAAAATTATCCTCTGACCTCTATACATAGGCTGTAGGGTGTGTAAGTGTAGGACATGAAAACACACGTGTGCACACACACAGACAATAATACAGAAATACAGTATTCTTTCATATTTCCATTTATCATCCTCTTCTGACCACTCTATCACCCCATCCTTGAAGTACCATTTGAAGTTCTGTTTGCTTTACTCATGTGACTTGAGGACATGAACTAGCTTGGTATTATGAACTGATACTTCTGAAAGGAATCTTACCTTTCCCCTTCACTTCCCGTGCCTTCCAAACACGCTAATCCTTTAAAGAGCTGCTCCACAGAAGGCTGTCCTCATCTATTAACCATAAACCTCACAACTCTTTTTTTTTTTAAAGGTACAAGAATACTATGTGGGCTGCAGTTAAAAACAAAAAGAAAGCGGGAGGAGGTGCAGGCAGGGAGGACATAGAGAAGGAGGAAGAGGAGGAGGTGAGGAGGATGTGGAGGGGGAAGGAAGGAAGGAAGGAAGGAAAGAAGGAAGGAAGGGAGGAAGGAAGGAAGGAGGGAGGGAGGGAAGGAAGAAAGGGAGGGAGGGAGGGAAGGAAGGAAGGAAGGAAGGAAGGAAGGAAGGAAGGAAGGAAGGAAGGGAGGGAGGAAGGAAAACCAAAACACTGCCCAAGTAAAATCAAGGTTCTCAGATTTAAAACAGGGAACAAACATCCCATCAGTCAAGACTCAGGGATTGCAACATGCAAGATGAATTTCATCAGCCATTCTTTCTAGTTCAGCCCCAGGTCAGCTAAAGCTATAACAGAGCGTACCTGGGTAGCCTGGGAAGGACGTTACAGGAGAGATGTGGCTCACAGCACGGGAGGAGGAGGTGAATGGGACAGGAGGATAAGTAGCAATAAATAGTAAGTTTCAGCCTCAGGTCCACTCCCATTCACTTGGGATACCAGCCAGTCTCGCCTGTTCCACCAACCCTGATGACAAAGAGCACCGGCCTCTGACTGGAACACAGTGAACCACCATGTCCACCCTTGCACTGTTGGCTCATACAACACGGTGGCACGTGTGACCTTGAAAGAGTCCAGCCACACATAAACCCAAACAAACCCATAGCTTTATCTCTTATAAGATGTAAGAGTTACTTGTGTTTTGACAAGATCACATTTGGGTGGATAGCTTCTCATTAGAAGCTTTTAGTTTCAGTACTCAGAGAAAAGATCTTTTCATGCTGCCTCTTACATGGTATCAGAGTTGGATGCTGTGTTCTTAAAATCATTAACCCTGTCATCAATTTCTTCTCCTTTCAACCACTGCCTTAAAATGCCCTTTTCCTATAAAGCAGGAAATAATATTTGAAGTTCTCCAATTTCATATTGACTTCAAGATGAGCTCAGTTGACATCTCAATTCCACGACATTGCAGAAAGTAAGGTTTTCCTTCTTTTAGAAACATGAAGCACCCTACCCTACCCCAGTTTCCTTGCCAGGATCCCAAGGTAGGCTGGTTTCAAGGGAAAGCTAGAAGTTGCTTCCTGATTCCACAGTTGCTCTTTCATCAAAACAAAAATAAAAATGAACACCCACATGCTACACACACACACACATACACACACACAACAAACAAACAAACAAACAAAAAAACAAACACTCCTACCACTCTATCATTTCCAAGAATAACCAGAAGTGGCCACTATGGTGCTGTAATGTATATTTCCTTGTATACCAGATATGTTCTCTAAGAACCCCATCTTCTAGGCTTTTAATATTACCAGTCAATCCCCTCACTGAACAGATACAATCTAGAAGTCTGATTAGCAAAAATTGAAATATTTACTTTGAACTGATATCAGATCATAAAAGCTAAGTATGACTTTCCCTCTACTTATCACAAAGCCAGGGAGACTTTAACTTTGATTAAATCAGTCAAAAAAAAAAAAAAAAGAAAGAACAAGAAAAAGAAAAAAT